CACGAGCGAGGTCGAGCCTTGCCATGGCTGTGGGCGAGGTCGGCCATGGCAAGGGCAACAACCTCTTTGTCACTTTGGATGAGCTCGATCTCGCCAGACCTAGGTGAGGTCGAGCTTGCCCAACCATGGCGAGGCTCGCCCTCACCCGAGCTTGACCTCGCCCTTGCCCGAGCTCAACCTCGCCCAGTGAGCTCAACCTCGCCCAGTGAGCTCAACCTTGCCCAGTGACAGCGAGGTCGTCGCCCTCACCATGGCTAACCTTGCCCGCAACGGCAAGGTCAAGGGTCGGCAAGGCCGAGCCTCACCATCAGCCCTAGTCCTTGGCCTATCCGGCCAGGGGAAGAAGCAAAGAAAAACAAAAGGAAAGAAAAAGAAAAAGAAAAACATATATAAAAATATCGAAAAAATATTTAAAAAATCATCACCTCAGCATCGGCTAGCTAAAATTGGTTAAATAGACTGAATTGACATAAATACAAAATATTTAGGACTGAATTGGTAAAAAAAAAAGTTTATAACTGAATTGAAACAATTGCAATAAGTTTAGGATTATTTTGATAATTTTCCGTTTCATTCTCCCTCTCTCTCTCTCTCTCTCTCTCTCTCTCTCTCTCTCTCTCTCTCTCAAAACACGCTTCTAAATTTTTTTTTTCTTCTTTCAACGCATGATGAGAAAGAAAAAGCAGAGACTGGAACCCTAATCTTTTTTTCTTCTTTCAACGCATGATGAGAAAGAAAAAGCAGACTGGAACCCTAATCTCTCTCATCTATTTGCTTGTGAAGGTCGGGTTTCTCAATTTTGTGCCCCAGAAATGGTACATTCACCAAACCCTGCAATACATTTTTAAACTCCTCTCTCTCTCTCTCTCTCTCTCTCTCTCTCTCTACACATCACACATCCACATGGAGACGTCACACGAGCCTCCTCTTCCGATCACCTTCCTTGGATAAGGTCACAAAGGAAAATGAAGGGGCCACAATCTACTACCATGTTATGGACGATTGAGAGTGACCTCATGTTCCCTTTTTAAAACACTCGCACATGATATGTAAGGAATGGAACAACTTTTATAATTAGCACACGTGTATGTTACATATAGATTTAACTTGTTTATACTGTTACGAGTTCTAATGATTACATGTCCACATACCGGCGTTTGTATAGCCCCGTGGCCCTTTGTACGGATTTTCAGCTGCGGCCATAAAAACTCGACATGACCGATTTCTTCTTAGCTCCTTAAAGAACTTATTTCTGTTGCCAAAAGATGCCTTATATTACCAAACCATGGTTGGCTAGCCATTTTCCCATAGGCAATGAGCATATGGGACGCATTGATACATAATTATCAAGTATAGGGGCTATTACAGATGAAATCATTTGAAGGGATTTGTTTTCTATCTTTTATTTTGTGTTTCTGAATTCGAATGATCTAAAATTCGCATACATTTATGGCAAAAAAATAGATAAACACAACTAGCCATTACTAAATTTAAACTGTCAATGCCCGTTTGGTTTAGTATTTCAAATGGGCTTTGGGACTCTAAAATCCCGTTGGCAAATGCAAATGGTGTTTGGTTCGTTGTTTTGCTTAACTTTGGGCAAATGCAATTGCATTTCCAAAGGCCTTTGGTCCAAGGCAGGTCTGTAGGCCCTTTTTTTTTTGGTTTTTTGGTCGAAAGGTTTGGAGGCCCTTTGAAATGCTACATTTTCGAAATGCAAATACAATTTTTTTATCCAACTTTGCCATCGCTTAACTATCATAATTCCGAAAATGTCCCCACCTAATGTGACGTCAGCAACGAGCCAAATTTGGCGTCAACATTCTCGCCTGAGGTCATGAGACCTCAAGTGACAGTCACTTGGGTTGCCTGACCCAAGCGACAGCCACCTGAGTTCACGCAGCCCAAGCGACGATTACTTGAGGTTGTCAGACCTCAGGCTGCATCGCCTGGGATTGCGCTACCGAGGCTAAGGGGATAGTCGCCTGAGGTTGCCCGACCTTAGGTGAGGCAATCGACGTCAGATCTAGCTCATCAGCAACCAGATTTAACCTTGCTAGAGGCTCACCGACCGTTTTATCTTGCTGGTTTTGTGTTTTTTTATTTATTTATAAAAAAAAGCAAAAGTGCTTTTCAAAATGTGATTTTGCCAAACATCATTTTAAGCCAAAATTGTTTCCTAATCCTTTTTAAAATTACAATTTACCAAACACTATTTAAATTTTGGAAAACTCATTTAACTCAAAAGGCATTTACATTTCCCCAAAGCCGAACCAAATGGGGCCTAAATAAAAGCCATCAACTGGTACTCTAGAGATAACACTATGGGGTTTAATGCGTTGTCCGACATCTACATCTCCTCCGTTGGTGTTCTTTCATCCATTGAAACAGAAATTGGATATTTAGGGGGAGGAACCCGTTTGTCATTACTGAAATCCCAGTGCAGTCTCCATTGGTCACAGGTGTACTCGAGGAACTCCTCGAATGCCACTAAGTAGTTGCCTTGCTTTGTGATATTTGCAATCCTTCCCGTCCATCACCCGTCCCGATCGTAGGTCTCCACCTTCACATTTTCCTCCATGACTACGCCTCCCCTTCGTTCGGAGGCAAAGGCCGGATGAAGTTGATGCCGATGTACTCCCTCAGCCGAGTCTAGCCATCGTCAGAGAGGAGGGTGGTGTACACAATGAAGGTGCACCATGTGGATTTGGGGATGTCGTGATCTAAACCTCTCGCGGGTGCACCACCTAGGGATTCGGTTAATGAATTATTAAGTCTAGGTCTAACTCGGGCTCTCCCAAGCTTTTACCAATTCGCGACTTAAGGTTTAAGTTCTTAACATACAAATCATTTCAATCAGGAGTCGCCAATAATCTGTTTTTTGGTGGGTCGATTAGAAACCCAAGTGAAGTATTAGGAGAATTACTTTACTCCTATGAATCAGAGATTATGAATTCGGGGACTTTGTTACACTATATTACTCTAATGCCCTTTCGGTAACTTTTCTCTTTTATTTCAAAAAATATTTGCAAGTAGCTTGGATTGATTTTAAACCTATTCACTAACATGCGAGGTGATCATGCGGGTGCGCAACCAATAATAAAACACTCAATAATGCAAAGCAATAAATAAATTACAAGATAGGAACTTACCTCAAAGCAATGAAAACATCTGCAATGTTAGTTAAAAAATCACATTGACAATCCTAATATGATTTCTAATTAACACGCAATTTCACTCAAATCTTTTTTTAGGGTTTTCTCTGATTCAATGAAAACTAAACTTTGTACAATGCATTCTACGTCTAGTATGACATACGACATACGATTTATTTAAATGTCCTAATTCTAACAACAATTAAATGCACTATCTCTAATATGGCACGCAAATGAACCTAGACGTGAGATTTCTAATGACGAGAATTAATTAATATGCAACTACTCTAATATGACATGCACGTGGTATTTTTTTCATATTTTTTTAATTTAAATTCGGAATAAATAATTAACCTAATTTAAACATGTAATAATAAAATCCAAGAAAATAATCTAATCTATTCTAAGAAAATAATCAAAATTTATCCTAAATATACAATATATTATCTACTCAAATTTACCTAATCTTTTTGTATTTTTTATGGAAAGACAATTAATTCAATTCAAACAAAAGACAGAAAGAAACACAAAAAAGAAATATTAACATTTTATAAAACACAAAAGAACATATCTCGGGCGGGAGATTAGACAAGTTTAACCTCAAAAAAGTAATTTTTTAAGACCTAAAAATTATATAAAATATTACTCGAAGATAATAAAATTCCTATTTCAAATTGATATTAGTTCCTTCCCCGGCCTTGTGAATTTGCTGACTTAATACCATGCAAAAATCTACCAAGGAATTCAAAGAATTTGTCCCGGGTTTAGTCAAGTATCACCCGGAGCCGTACTCGATGAAATACAGCACTGCAAACGCTGTAAGAGGTGTAGAACAGCAGCTCGGATGCAGCGGGTGACGCTCAATGGCTTCGCGGCAAAGCAAAATTCGTTGCCGTTGGTTCAAACTATCCTGGAACGGAGCAGCGGGTTCACGCCTGATTACTGGAGCAGAGACGTCGTCGAGCTGGTAGGACTGATCGCGGCGGTGCAGCACGCGGAAGGATAGCGGCAAGCGGCGATCGCGGAGGGAGCTCTTTTGGCTGGACGTTGGTCACAGTCAGAGCAGCAAAATCACGGTGGCTAGTGAACAGGAACACAGCTGGAGTACCAGCTTGCGATCCGGCTGTAGGTTGAAGCTCACGCCGAAACACTAAAGGAGAAGGACGGCAACTCTCCCTCGCTTTCTTACTCTTCTCTCCTGTCTCTATGTCTCTGTACGTGTGTCGACGTACTATGCGTAGTCTCCCCTGTCAATGTTTTTGTCCTTTCTTCATTTGCTTTGCTTTTTGCCTTCTGCTCACGGATCCCGACGCACGAAGATTTTTAAAACATATTGCCTCTTTGCTTCTTTCCTTTGAAAATATGCCCAGCTCTTGTGATCGTGATCAACCCAAATATATCCTTTGGTTTTTTTTACCCTTACGGTCAGAATTGCTATGCTGAACAAAATCAGAGCCATTCATGGGTGTTGATTTTTCAAGATTAACCCTTCGCGAAAACGAATTCACTTCTGACTCTATTCAAACAAGATCCATTTCAAACCCTTATTTAAGAAACGATGAAGACTTCACGCACTTTATTTTCATGGAATTTTCCCCTATGATAATCGTACATTCAATTAAGTTATCACAGGATCACTTTATATGCGGGAAATTTTTTTTCCATCTATTTCATTTCTCAACGAATTCAAAGGCATTTATGTACTCATCCCTTATAAAAAGTATATATAAATTTTTTTTAGCTGTATTAATCAGGGTCATTTCATCTATTTACTGTGGTAAACCTTGGAGATAATAATTAATAACCGCGGAGAGTGAGCGTAGAGTGTCACCACCACAATCGGAACAAAAACAAAACAAGTTCGAAACCCTACGAAGAGGACTCTCTCTGTCTCTCTGGTTGACGAACGAAGCCGAAGCAGAAGCAGAAGAGGAAGAAGGAGGAAGAAGGAGGAGGAGGCGATCATGGCGTTCACTTCTCGCCTCTTGTCCAAGTCTCGGCAGGTGAGGACCCTCCAGATCTGCGCCGCCTTCTGTTCGCTTTTTCCCTCTCGTTCTTCTCCAAATGCCGTCGCAATTTCTGCCCGACGGTGCTCTTTCTTGTTCGCACTCGAGAAAATCGGGATTTTTTTTTTTTTTCGGGGGGTGTTCTTCGATCTGGGGCTAGCAATTTGGCTTGGGTCGATCGATTTCGAGGTCCTAATTTCTAGGAAACGCAGTTTCCGGGTGCGAAGCACGCATCGATTTTTGGTCGGTGGCGTAACGGGTGCATCGTTGGTGCTCGACATTCGCTGTAGAGATCGGACTTTTGTGCTCTGCGGGCCGCCGCTATCTCGTTGATGATCTGCGCCGCTTTGGAGTACCTTCTGTGTGTTGCTTTTCGTTGCGGAGCGGGCGATTCGCTTTGGCAATTGGGTTTCTGTGCACTTGAACGGATCTGTGCGTGGCTAGAAGTAACTGGCCTAAACTTGTCGTTTTTAGTTTCTTCCTAGGTGTTCCTTTTTGGTTGCTGACGAACTTTCGACCACATGATTAGCGTTAGGAGGTTTTTTTTTCTGCTGTCTTTAGTTAAAAACAGCGACTTTGATAGGGTCGTGTCTACTTGAGATGGAAATGACTGTCGTATTGCGGTCGATTAGCGGTAGCCTTCCTGCGTGTTTTACACCACTGTTTAGTTTTCTAATAGGTTTGTCAATTTATTGTGCGGACATTGTTTAATTTGACGTGCTTCTGCATTTGTTCGTTCAGTTATGTGGTACTCAGACGATTTTACTGCGGGAGCATGCTGTCCCTGTCCGTTTCTTTGCCAAAGAAGCTGCTCCTGCTGCCCTCAAGGGAGACGGTGAGTCGTCATAAACTTTAGTCCGTCCTGCTGCATTTGTAGTGGACATCAGTGTCTTTCAGGAACATTTAGTTAGTTATCATTACTTTGCTGACAAATGCTGCACCTTTTTAAGGTTAAAAGAAAGAACAAGCTTCTTATACTTCTTAAGCTACTCTTCCACTCTGTAAAGTTTGATGCATGCAACCTTACACAAAATCTTGCCGATGCAACTGATAAGTGCTACACGAACGAAATTTTTTCCAATGGTGGCTGTGGAAGATCATTGATCTGACTGAGGACTTATCTTGAGACTTCCCAGTGGGAATCTACTGGGAGAAAATAGCTGTAGAACTGAAGTAAAATTAATTTTGGATGTACTTTCATGATTTCATAATTGAGGTAGACAATTCCCAGCACCAAGGCTTATCACTGACAGAGTACTGACATTTTCATTGTTAAAATAGAGATGTTGAAGAATATCTTTCTGGAGGTCAAGAAGAAGTTTGAGACCGCCATAGGAATTCTGAGGAAGGAAAAAATTACCATTGACCCTGAAGATCCAGCTGCAGTGGCTCAGTACGCAAAGGTCATGAAGACAGTAAGAGAGAAGTAATCCTTCTGCTGCCTTTTCAGCTTATCCTTGTAACAGCTTTATCTTGCATCATGTTTCAAGCATCCTCCTTTGTTCTATTTCCTTGGAAGTAAGTGGTTTTTGTATGGATGTGCATTTTGGGTCTTGGATGAGATTGTAGATGCTTCTACTATATCTCTATTTGTCCCATTATATTTTGGATGTTTGAAATGGATATGGAGCAGTTGGTTAGAGGCGGAACTTTTTAATGTCACTTTCACATATCAAAGAAAAACTACTTTTTGGGTGAGGATCTAATAAATGCCATCTCTGGAGTAATTAACTCAGTTCATGAGTGCTAGATTCAGCTTGTGGTCCAGGCACATGTGTCTATCACTATGCCTCCATGTCTGGCCCTTTCCTAATTTGTCAACTAAATTGGACTGTAGTTATCTAATCTCTTAATTGGTTGTGTTATGAATTGATTAGTCCTGGTCTTTTTATCCCACAGGGCAGACTTGTTCTCAGAGTCGCAAAGGATCCAGTACACTATTCAGACACGTACGCAGGACATACCAGATGCTCGTACATATCTTTTGACCTTGAAGGAGATTCGAATCAAGTATGTTTCACTCTGATATGTACTGCTTGCTTCTATAAGTATTTGTAACTTTGTAACACCTGTGTTTAGCTTCTTTTTCTAATGGTCCAAAATTTTACACGTGAACTACTTTGTTATACTATTTAATTGTTCTGGATTTGTATGAAATGCTCTGATAGTGTCTGCTCGTATATATGCTTATACACAAGCAAAAATGAGTTGTTTTCTATCCTTATTTTTAGTGAGTACTGAAAGCCAATGCTTTTTGCAGGAGAGGTCTTACTGATGACCTTGGCGCAGAGGTAATGATGATGGATGCATTGGAGAAAGTTGAAAAAGAAATTAAGAAGCCCCTTATGAGAAACGACAAGAAAGGAATGGCTCTTCTCATGGCAGAGTTTGATAAGGTCAATAAGAAGTAAGTGCTTGTGTTGCTAGGTCTTATTTCTCGGTTTTCTTGTGTAATGTGGCATGTTTACGCTTGCTTTCAATTTAAGTATTTTTCCAAAAACCTTATTTGTGGATTTTAAATTGTATTGTGTGTGTGTGTATGACAAAGGGATATGAATGTTTAATTATGCATTTCCGGAATTAAACTAATCTCAATGTGATTGACAAATGAAAATGGGAATTTATTTGACCATATGTTTCTTTTTTTTAAAATATTTTTGCTTAAAATAATTTCCAGTACAAGTAAAATGATCACATTGGCGTGCAAGGATTGATTTTGGATGAGAATAGCATTACATTCTACTTTTGCTGATATATGAGCCAAACTGAAGGTATACTGAAGTATGATTTGTTTAAGGTAGTTGAAGCACTACTCTGTTAACATAAGAGACTGAATCATTTGTCATGCTAGATTTAACATTTTTCATGTGGAAGGCGTAGAAGCATGTCTCCTGGAGGCATTTACGGCTCTTCTGTTAGTGCACTTGCCGGAGTCAAAATGCTAGTTGATAGCATGGGTGCTAGGTTCTTATTCTGCTCTTTGATTATGACTTAATTCTGACTGTGGTTGGATAAGAAGCTTTGATAATTGTTTGTTGCACTGAGTATCATGCAATGCTTTTCGGTTTTGGCTCTGCTTATATGTAGCTTCTTCAGTGTGCTGCTTATGACATTAGTTTATATGTCATGATGTTATGCTAGGCTTGGAATTCGAAAGGAAGATCTGCCAAAGTATGAGGAGCAGTTGGAACTTAAAATTGCCAAAGCACAATTGGAGGATTTGAAGAAAGATGCTCTTGAAGCTATGGAAACTCAGAAGAAGAGGCAAGTATTTCTGTACTTTCATCATCGAGGCGAATCAGTTTGTCTCGTGATGTGTGTAGATGGTGCATTTTTTTTGTGTAGATAAACTTATTGGGACCTCTGCTTGTGTAACTTGAGAACATTGTGCCTGTGCTTGAAATGTTCAAATTTTTCTATTGTTTGCTAAAGATAGAATATATGGAAATCATTATTATACTTAGGCTCCGTTCGTTTTGCCAAAAAAGGAAAACATTTTCCTAAACATGATCGCTTGTATCGGTTACAAAAATGAATGAACAAAAATTATTTTCATAATCTGCAAAAATCTTTAGACGTAAATTGTGTTTATAATCAAAGCATTTTTTTATTGGTTGGTTATTTTAAGCGATACAAGCATTCATTTTTAGGAAAATGTTTTCCAAATCATTCCTTTTCCAAGAAACCAACGAATCCTTAATTTGTGAACAGATTCATTGAAAGCAAATAGAAAAAATGCTGAAAGAACATCTGGTCTTAACTTATCTGGAAACCATCATTCTCTACAGCAATTTCTTTTAAATGACAGTTAGATTTGTAAGCAAAGGTTTGTTTGACCTAGATAGGCTATGCAGATGTGAAGTATAATTTAGGTGCAATTTTAATTATTGTAAAAGCTTTTGAAAAATTATTAACTTTGATCTATTGTTTCATTTCAGGGAAGAATTTAAGGATGAGGAAATGGTTGATGTGAAGTCCTTGGATATCAGAAACTTCATCTGAGACAAGATTCTGTTCAAATGGTTGATCAATTGTTGAAAGAATGGAGAAGGAAGTTAGTTTGACAATGCTTTTGCTTCTCCTTGTTTTCTTCAATAAAGTAATTGAATGGAAAATGCTATCCAGTGACTTGAGAGATTAAATGCTGTTTTTGATCCTTCTATCACATACCGTGATGTCACTGGGAGAGAGCATTTCTTATTTTGTGAATGCACTTTTAGACTTGCTGGAGGTTTTCCCTCGAGTCTGGCTTGCACTGACGACTATATTTGTGCTGAGTTCATAAATAGTGGCTCCTTGATATGTCATTGTTGGTCATATCGGGGTGCATGTGCACCCATTTTCTTTGAGTTACTGGATCTTCGGATCATGTCGTATGTGCGAAACAGAAAATAAATAATAATAATTCAAGTGCTGAGATGCACTGTGTTCTGCCTCAGCGCACCTCGGGATTCTTTTTCCCCTTAAAATGGTACTCGAGCAGGCCAGAGCACACTTAACAGTTCCGTCACGTTAGTGTTCTCCTGCGGAGCATCTTTCTTGGCACTGAAGACGACTTTTCCGTAAAGTCATTTTTTGTGGTTACTGATTATTTACTGGTCAGTTTACATACATGAATCTCATTGGAGCATTGCTCTTTAAATCATTTGAAAATCCTCTTCCAGTTTTACCTTGAATGGGCAAAACTAGGTTTCCTTTTCTGACTCATTTTATGTGGATGTGAACAATGGAGCCGTACCGCTTTGTAAACCCGAAGTTTGCCTTATTTACCGGATCAAAGGCTTCTACAGTTCAGTGTCGGGCAGATGACTTTCTTCATGCCTTATTTCACGGTTAAGGAGAGTTTCAAGCACCATCGCGTGGCACACATCTTGTTACGGTAGGAGTATTAGGACTCAATATACAAACTAATCATAACATTCAACGGCTTTTCCAAACATTTATCTGCCTTGTTTATCCGAGCCAAGGACCACAATCACGATAGCGACCATTCGAGCGTGGTGAGCCCATAGGGGTGATTGGTTCCCGGTCTGATCCGGTTTCAGTCCAATGGAACCGGTCACCTTTTTGTCATACAATAAGCAGAAGCGGGAGAGGGGGAGAGTGGAGAGCACGGGGAGGGGATGTGAGAAGGGTCTGGCTATTCTGGGGCTGAGGTTGGCGGGGGACCTTGCCGTCCACCACAAGTGTTGATAGTGCGGAGGATGAGGCGGTGCTGGTCGACGGCATCTTTCTTTTTCTGAGAGCCAAACTCCACCCCCTGGTCACAAAGAAGCAAAAGCAAACAAGAGAGAGGGGGTCGACGTTACGTGTTTAGAGGGGATGGAGAGAGCCACCCATTGCTGCTGCTATGGTTCGGATATTTTTTTTAAGAAATAAAAAATATATATATTTAGACGGTCTGGTCCGGTCCGGTTACCCTTTGGAACAAGGAACCGGATCGCCCAGACACCGGTTTCACTTTTAGGAACCGGGAACTTGACCGACACTCTCAGGAACCGGATCCAACCGGCCGATTAGGTCCAGTCCACGCGGTCTGTTTTGCTCACCCCTAGGCACATAACATTTAATCAAACAAAAGCTAGTTGCATGTATACAACAACAAAGATCCTACCCAAATGCTCTTCCATTCGTAAAAAAAATGACTGCACTTGGTCCCTTGACACACTAACAAAATTGTGCACGCTGTCAGCATGTAGAGTCATATCAATGATTAACAATACAAGAACATAGACTTAGGACTTCCTTTTCTTGTCGGATTTGGAGCCATGGTTGTTCCTGCTTCGCTTTTTCCCGCTCTCTTGATTCTCTTTGTGCTTTTTATGTTTCTCCATTTTCTCTCTACTGGATTTGACACTGATAACGCCACCGGAGGCTATCTTACCTCCATTTTGCAGAGCGCTCTCGAAATCGGATTCTCTGCCAACGATGGCGTACTGTTGAAGAAATTCAGGGTTTAGGAAACCCTCTGTCTTGGTCTTCATCTCGTCCTGGCATGGTTAAGTCAAGTAAGTGCAAGGAAAAAGACAAGCAAATAAAATAACGAGGGAATTGACCAAAACATCAACGTTACCTCAACTTTCTTCGCCGCCTCATTCAGATCTTCGTCCACAGATACACTGTGTGGTTCCAGAACAACCTGAAATTGGAAATCCCAAAATTAAGAACACTTGTATGTATGCTCATGACTCTATCACGTGATTTATGCTTTTGTTACATGTTAATAGTTTGATTTCCATTGCAGAGAGTACTACCCAACTGCTTATTGTCGTCAATGACGGTCATCAAAGCGCAAGGAATTATTTCGTGGTGCTACACATTTCAATGTCAAAGCTTGTCCTAGAAGACCCTTCGATATAGGAAAAGGGAGATTTGTTTTTTGAAGGGGGTTGTTTTGAAGAGGAGGGCAATAAAATCTTGCCGTGAGAATATGATTAAAAACACTTCGTGACAAACGACATGTCTTTAAAGTTACCTCTTTCAAGCGAGGTAGTGCAGAGTCTATCTCCTTTGCTGCAATAGCATATAGATGTTTGTAGAACTTTTTCATAACCTTTATGAACAAAGACAAAATTTGCTGCCTCTCTAACTTCATTTGTCCCTGCAAAATACAAGTTCAACATAAAATCCGCCATCCAAGTGGCAAGGAAATCCTCTGATAAAGAGCTCACAAAACACTAGAACACCATAGAGGTGCCTCACATTGTCCCAGGAGAAGTGACCTTATAAGCAGAAAAGGGAAAACTCATGCATGATGATGCTGGTGCAGTGGGCCCAGCAACCACAGCTTCCGGTCATCAAATGGCCGAAAGCGACTTTGATGCTAAATAAGACTGAATGATATCTAAATGAGCAAAACTAAGAGCAGACATTTGAGAATCATTGTACCCCCAATTAAAAATGAAAAAATGATTCACATTCCAATGAGCTTGCTTCCCTCGTAGACAACAACTATGTCAGAAGCTAGACATCCCAAGACAGGCACCATCAGATTAAGTGATAATTGTAGCACTAGTTTAGACACAGAAAAAGAAAATCCACCTTACAATTCTATTATAGCTTGCAACTGAAAAAGAAAAAGTTGAGCACCAAAAGCAAATGACAAACCTAAATTCAAGTTCACAGTTGAATAATGTGCACAAGGTATCTAGCATGAGGGTACATGGGCAAGGGCACAGACCTCAATATAACTGATGTCATGATGCTGCAATCCAATGCATAGCAAGACTGATGCCTGAGCATATGATAAAGAAACTGGAAGCTTCTCCTGGAAGTATGTATGCGAAATAATTGGCACAGTGTCCAGAATCTGTAAATTATGAAGGGTGCATCAGAAAATATTACAGTTCGTCAAGTAATGAATCAAATGCAAAATATTTGGATGACACTTCGACTGTGATTCTAATTTTTTTTTGGTCGAATATTGTTCTTCTAAGTTGACTAGGGGCAAATGCCACATAATGATCATATATTATAGCAAAATAATGTTCCGTTACTCGTTGTGTAATGCAAACAAGCCACCTCCTTTGATAGTTTTTAACAAAACAGCTTGCTAGATTCTTAATTAAGTATGCGGAATATTGTGCCACAGTAGGAAAGAAAGGGCTTATATAGTACATCCTGAACCAACAGCTCCAGAAATGAGTCGGATGTCTTTTCTAGGAACGATCTCAGGTAACAAATTCAACTTTTGCATATAATTTACATGCAGCATGCTCTCTATCATCATTATTTTAAAGACTTTTTCTCATATAAATTACTTCTGCCCAAGTCCATTTGAGGTCAAATGGTTCTGAAATCGGAATGAAAATAACTAATCTCAAAATACTACAAAGGATTGTCTTTGTTCTTACCATATGATAATCAGCAAGATTATTCGTATAAGCTTCAAGTCGCTTCATATCATGCGGTGATAATATTTGGTTGAGAGACCCTGAAAATCCTTCTGAGGTAGATGGGTTAATTTCTTCATCATCAAAGTTGATCTTCGGATCCAATACGCTGGTAAATTAGACACAACAAGCAATTTCAGTGAAACAAAAAGCATTTCAACCGAGACCAATTGAAAAGAACGTAAGCAGAGTGAGGAATATATGAACTTACCTCATAGCAAGTTTATATTCCATATTACGGAAACTATAGCTCAAAAGCCTTGCAAACCTTTGCTTGAAATCTGGCATTTTCAACAAAATTAAAGGGTTTCATGGAAGATCAACGCATGGGGAGCATGGGAAGCAATTAAAGCATCATCTTGAGAGGCAAGAATTACCTCTATAAAATGGACTGAAAAAACCCCACTGATCAGATCCAGAGACATCAATATCATCATTTTTTAAAGGCTTCAAAACCATACAGGTGTGCTCACCAGTCACAGTATTCTGTAATAATGAAGAAAGGTCAAAACACCACCCAACAGGGCAAAAAGGTCGTGTATTCAATGTGTTTCAGATAAGTGGTCTTAACTGGGATCTGGCCAATGTAAAATGGGACAAACTTATGTTTCCTCCAGAAGCGGAAAAGGTCAAGAGTAAGACCAAAGGAGACACCAATATAATGGAGCTTTTCAGGCTGTCTTTCACGAAGATGTACTAGCAAAGGTGGAAGATTAGCTCTGGGTTTTATATTCTCTTCTAGCAAAGACGCCTGAAATCACATCTGATGTGAGAATAAATTCAACTAACAATTGACGTTAAAACCAAGGGACAGCTTAAGTACAACGAATATGTACTGTAGGGGTAAAGACAAATAACAGAACCAACAAAATTGAACTACCAGAGATGAATATTTTCTGCGACTTTATCTCTTAAACTGTCCAAAATAATTCTAAATCTGAAATGGATTTGGACCTAATCAGATATAGGTAACGCAATTCTTGTCTTAAAGTCGACGGTCAATCAGTGCTTCTTGCAGAACTTAGTGAGGAAAAAGGTAAAACTAAAAGATACAGCTCTACTCAATTCATGTGGGTCACTTCTATGCTGCTCATTAAGACATCAAACGCCCACCTTAAAAGACTGGCTATAGATCCAATAAAAAGGAGAATGCAAAGGATTGCAAACTTGCTTGTAACACTGAAATACACACGATTCAAAATGTTTTAAGCCGTAATTTCATATTATCTCAACAATTTTCTTCTAAGAGCTTGTCGATTGTTGAATCTAGAGCTCATGCAAAAATACATTTCAACTTGCAAATGGGGAACAACAGGGACATTCATACGTTTAATTCTTCTGTCGAACGTTTTAGAATGTTAATAACCAACTTAAAGTAAGCCTAATACTCAATAACTGACATTGTTCAGCTACAGTCAATAACTGAACATATCCAACTACCCATTGTCAGTCACACTTTGGGTAAATGTAAGCATCAATCTAAGGTACTCCACAACTCTTATCAACATAACACCTAAAGATCCACTACCTAATCATAAGAATCAAC